AAGGATAGAAATTTATTGGAATTCATCGAAAATGCATGCTTAGCAGCGTCAAATTGCAGGAACCAAAAGATATACAGTAAGCTTCCATCTTTGATCAAAGTTTCAGTTGGTGTAACAGAGAATTTCATCAGTTCCATCCCCGTAAAACAAAACTGTATTTCTGAGCGTACCGAATTGAAACTTTGGTCATGAAAATGCTATAGAGGATCATGCATGAGATGAATATTCATACCCAGATGCATTGACAACAGTTCTCGAGATCTTCATCTTCCTTGTTGATCCAGTGTATAGCTCTTCCAGGGTGCAAGGCAATTTGCTCTCAACTGGGGGTGGCTTCCTGGGCGGAGTTGTATCATTGTAAGTTCGAAAATTGTTTTCGGTGCAACCAAATCCTCCAAACTTCCCTCCATCAGAATGGAATCTTGCGGACCTACCAAGTCCTGCTGACCCGAACTCGAAAGGACTACTTCCAAAGAACTCAGCGAATATGTCCTCGGCATTCCTAGGATTGAACCCACTCGACCAACCAGGGCCATTTCTTGATGATCCGCCGCTTCCCGGTGGAGGCATGTTTTTCAACCCTTCTTCACCTTGCTGATTGTAAATCGCTCTCTTTTGAGGGTCACTCAAGACCTGAATCACAAAATTAACATAATTCCCATATGAAATCTAAGAAGACAATGGATACCAGCTCTTACATCTCAGTGTTATCTATACTATAGTGATTGAATCTATTGTATTCATGTATCATTAGGCACATGCCAGGTCAGATCAATCATCAAAATAAACAAGAAAACAATATTGTAGTGAACATAACCCGTTCTAGAGAGGCCGACCACCTTTTGTCTTTGCGGTTACACAGCAATCTGCTCTCGAGTAATATCTGGTGATTAAAATAAACCATATTATGGGGCCTCTAATGTGACTACCAAGATAACATGAAGATTTTCTCCCAGTAATCCCAAAAATTAAAAATCATATTTACATGTTGAAGGAAATAAGGAGCACGAGGATGAGGCTTTCATGGCAGAGGTGACCAAGGACGATGGCTTCAACGTCAGGGGAGAAGCGGCCTGAGGGATTTCGGAGAGAGGAGTTCCAAGCTCGGTGATGAATGGACTGCTTTCATAGATAACTTGAGTAAGAGAGTTTCAAGAGGCGCTCTAAGGGAGTTCTTTAATAACTATGGAGAAGTGAGACAGGTTTTTATCCCGAGAAGCATCAGGAACCCAGGTATAAGGATTAAGGAGTGTAACTTTGTTTTTGTGAGGTTTGCTCCAAAGGCCGATATGGATAATTGCTTAAGGAGTACGAACGATGCAAAGATCGATGGGAGAAGCATATTGGTGTCCAAAGCGAAATTTACCAGGTATTCTCAGGCTGGTTTTAAAGAAAAGTGGGGGGAGGGAAAGGTGATGAAGAAGTCGAAAGATCGTCGGGAGTCTACTATACAAAGGAAAGTAGGGGTGGAGAAGGAAAGGGATGAAAGGTCTTTTGCGGATGTACTGAAAGGGAAAGAGAAGTTGGAAGATGGACCAGTGGCAGAATCACCGAATGATGTGAATAAGGTGGTGGAAGCGGTGGCTTATCTTGAGCCCACAGCAGAAGATGAAAAGGTGGAGGATAGGGAGTCACCCCCGAACGTGTTAGATTTCCAGGTGCCTTCTGAAGATGTGGAATGGATTGAGCATTCGTTAGTGGGGCTTACAAGAGGAAATTTTGATCTGGATCTTGTTCAAAGAGCATTGGAAAGAGAAGGAGTCAATGCGATAATTGTAAAATAGGGGAACTCACAAAATTCATGTATTATTATTTTTAATTCGAAAAGTGAGATGGAAGAAGCGTGGGAGGAAAAGGATGACGGTTGGGACTACTGGTTCAAACAAGTTGCTCCCATTAAAGATAAGTCGGCTCATGCTTCTGCTTATTAAACTTGCGTTCTCAAAGGTGTTCCTCTGCAATTGTGGCACATCAATTTTTTCTCGGCTCTGGGGAACAAGTGGGGATCTTTTATTGATGTAGACGAGTCAACGAGAGATATGGAGAATTTTTCATCGGCAAGAATGGTAGTCAGGGCAGCTTGCAGGTTTGATATCCCGGAGTCGGTGACCATCAGATCAAAAGGGAGATTTTTTGTTATTAAAGTGGAGGTTCCAGAGGAAGATAGTAATATGCCGAAGAGTCCAGTTCAAGGAGTTGAAATTTTTGCCGATGTTTGGCCAACAGAAGCGAATCCAGTGCATGAGAATTCTGATTCAGATGGTGGCGGTGGGTTTGAGAGCAATGCGCCGGCGAGAGAGAGTGTCCCAGCGGTGAGTAAAGCTCGATTGGAGGTTGGAAATGTGTGTGCCGTTTCGGGTTCTGCTATGGCGGCGGGCATGGCGGCTGGGGGTCTCTTACCGTTAGAAAATTTTAACAAGTACGTGCATGAAAATGATGAGAACTCCAACATGGGCGGTCAAATCGATGAGAGGCGTTTGAACGAGGATGGTTTAATTGAGAATGGTAAAAGTGTTAATGGTGGCTGTCAGGAATTGTCTGCTGAGGTGGATATCCACTCTCAATCGGGTTTTATGGTAAATGGGCCTAAGGTGACACATGATGTTATGAATGGGCCTAATAGTTTAGTGGCTACTGCTGATTTAAGCGAAGAGGAGGAGGTTGGGTTGGTAAGGTCCTTTGTGGGTCAGAAAGTTTGTGGGATAAGATTAAGTCGAGACATGAGTTCTATGGATTTTGTCCCTGATAGCGTAAGTATGGGTTTTTCCGTTCAAGGTAATATATCATCGTGGAGTGGTGCGAAAGTTAACTAATCTCTAGTAATTTTGGACTCGGTGATGGTTTATAAGAGGAAGGGTGCGCCGATCCCTAGAGCGGTGATAAGGAGGGTAGTCAGAAGGTTAACTAGAGATTCGATTGAAGACAGGGGGCGTCCGAATGGTGTTTCTCGTGAGGTCGCGATAGCTAAGGAGATCAGTGCGGAGGCAGAGGCGGTTTGGGAGGGGTGCAAAGTTCTTCAAGTTTCTTTCAAAGGCGGTAAAGAGGCGGTTAAGAAACGAATTCGATCGTTAGAGGCAGAGCTCAGGCGGTTGTCCTGATTGCTAGGGGATGGATTATTTAAGAGGCTAAAACAGTACTAAGAAAGAAACGTCAGGCACATAAGAACTGAAATCCCTCATAATCTTTAATTAAACTAGAATATTACAAACAGGTAATATAACGTTCGATCATAGTAACAATTTAAGCCATGAAAAAAAGGGGGGAAATAAAACCGAGTAGCTGAAAATCCTAGAACATATAGGATTACAGTTCAGCTTAATATAGTTTCAAGAAAACCTTGAACTAGGTATGTATATGACAAAAATATGTAAGTTTCGCTTCCCATGTCAGAGGGAATAGTCGACCCCTTTGTTACTTAGTTTTGCTTCAATCACAGATATAGGTATGTATATGACAAAAATATGTAAGTTTCTTCGAGTATTTGGAGGATCCGAAGGTCGCATTATCATATTCATGTGTCAGACACAAGTACTTCAACAAAAATAAATCAAGAACTGCCTAATTATAGAAATTTATTAGCTAACCTTATAAGTAAAACCTACTGAAAATTGCAATCCCGAAAGAGCTTAAAAGCTGCCATGTCTTCCTATCACGTAAACTGGTTTATGCAAATGCAATGCATTATTAAGTTGCTCGGACTTTTCATTTTCTTTATGTTCATATCCAACACATGGATATCAGACTGTGGCCTCTTAGGAACCTCTAAATACATGAAAAAAGCTTTAAACGGATCCAACTATACTGTGACAGATACTCGTACCCGACACTCACGTCCGAGTAACACAGGTGCATTCATATTTTATACCCCTTTTTATTGTCATTTTCTTACAATAACCACTAATTCCCTTTCAAGAAAAGCAATAGCAATAAAACATCTCTAATACCGTTAAACAACTATGCTATTCGAAGATTGAAGCAAATACATTAATTTCTCCCGGCCTTCCTCTATTAACAATAATTCATTCAAGACTATTTCTCAGCCAAAACAGAGTCAAGATCATTGTGTTTCTTTCCAGGCAAATACCATAATCAAACGACAAAAGAACATAAAAAACGAAGAATGTAACAACAAATTCCATCATTTTCTTCTTCTATCATAAATTAACGATCAAAGAGAAACAAACTGAAGGGAAGACTTGCCTCATAGGCCTCTGAAATCTGCTTGAAATTGGCTTCGGCTTCCTTTTTATTGTTTGGGTTCTTGTCAGGATGCCATTTCATTGCTAGTTTCCTATATGCCCTTTTCAGATCATCGTCTGTTGCATTCCGGTCCACTTTCAACACATTGTAATAATCCACCCCCATTCTTCCTTTATTTCCTCTTTACAATCTGACCCAAATCCTATAAAATCATTAAAAAAAACCTTTTAAAAATTTGACAAAAAACCCGCAACACAGAAACAACAAATTCCCCCCCTTAAATCTCTCTTCCTGTCGGTAAATCCAAATTCTGCAGGAGAAAATCTATGAATTTTTAATGTTCCATTGATTGGAACATGGAAAATGGGAGATTTTGTCTGCAGACAAGATTAACACAAAACAAGGAACACAGATTCAAATTTCTTCTCTGGAGGAATCAATGTGCTTGCATTTCTTTGGTTTAAGAGTTGAAGACCCTGTTTGTTGACTTTCTTCCCATATAAAACGGAACTAACAGAGATTAAATCATTATCACTAAAGATTGTTGTTAGCTCTCTTAAGTACAATATATATATATATAACTATGGATATATTTGAAAACTGGTAGTTGGTTTTTCTTTTTCTTTTCTCCCTATTCTTGGAAAAAATGGAAACAATGGTTTGCATTTTGGCAATAAAGTTGCTGCATAAACATTCCTTATGACAAGAATGCTTCTTTTTACCTACAAAATATGTTTTTATATTCAAGCTAGATGCATATATTAAACTCATACGTATAAGAATATTAATACATTAGTCGATTGAACCACATGTTGACATCAATCCAAGTTTGATCCCATCATTCCGATCCTCGGATAGATCACTCCATTGTCATTCCTAGACAAGATCGAAAGATTATACTTGTAACCGAACACATTTTCCCTTTTAATTGCCATCGAATTCCAGCTTACCTATAAAAACAATATATGCATATGTATGATATATTAGGTAATATAACAATGTGCTTTGTTGTGTATTCATCTGGACATACAAGAAATGCTAATCAGATAGTTTTTGTGATTTTATATAAAGAGATGATATAATCAATGATAAAGCAAAACATTGGCATTAGCATTAACCCTAACCCATATCCTGCCTCTTCAGTTGAAGCAATGAAAGAAATTGGATGGGAACTCGATAGATAGATAGATAGATAAATGAGCTGGCCATGGTTAACTAGCTAGCTCACCTTTTTGCAAAGCTGATTCTGACTTATATACCATGGTGGTCAGTACCATACCCGTACTGTCCACACCACTACATATAGTTTCAACACGAAGCTGGTCCGATTCAATCCCTGATCTGACCCTGAATTTGAATCAGTGATCGTGCTTATGCAGTTTCATGCCACAAACTGTTTATCATCATAACCTCGTTAAAACCAAAATCATATTCCAGTAAAAGAGGATACTAGAAAGTAGAATCAGGTTCATATTCATAGCTACGAATCCTACTAGAATAAAAAAAGATACCGAAAGAAATGTTTTCTAATGAATTTGAAGCAAATTATTTGACTACACATCTAGACAGCATAAACAAGAGACAATTGAAGTTCAAAGCAATTCATCGTTTAAGTTGCAGAATGATGCATAAGAATAAGGCCACTGTTCTGCTATCGTCTACCAATAAGAAAAAATCATGTTAGTTAAGAGTTCCTCGGGTAAATATTACAGTAAGGGGTGATGCCAAAAGAAAAGAATTAGAGAGAGATAGAGGGGAATAAACACACATTACCTACCGCACATTCAAGATGTTTGACACGAGATGCTCTGGATGCAAGAAAATAGATGTCCCTGAAAGCAAGGATTTTCCCAATCCTCTGCACATGAAGAACAAGAGAAAACATGTGAGGTTGATTCTCGATATTGATGTTTTGGGTAAATTTGTCTGTTGAAACATAGACTCAATACAAATTATCTTCTTGTTTTGGCCATTGCTAAGAACTTTTCATACCTGATTCATACTTGAATCATCTTCTTAAACATTTTTAGAAGGTACCGAGCGAGCCATAATTAAATGCTTAAAGCAATCATTTGACAATAAACTTCAAAGCACAAAATAGATCAGCCAGCAACTGCCCTTTGATCCGTTTCTTTCTGAATGTCATTACATATCATCCACTCTAGAACTTTAGCAGCTTTAGGAAATTTATTCACCGAACCATTCAAAACTGCTTGGTTAAGGATCCGTAGAGTTACATCATCAGGTTGAAACCCTTCTACTACCATGACTTTAAGTAACGAGAGGATTTCCCAAAACATGCCTCTCCAAAACATTGCATGCAATAGGGTATTGAAAATTGCAACACTAGGAACAACACCCCTCAGTAGCATTTGGTTCCACATTTGGAGAGCAGCTGATATCTTCCCTTCTTTACAGAGGCCATTAATTAATGAACCATAGGTAAAAACATCAGGTTTCAGTTTCTGTCTTCTCATTTCCCCTAACAATTGACCAACCAAAAGGTGATTGTGCTCTCTCAGGGAAGCATGGATAAGAATGTTGTATGAAGTCATGTCAGGAAGGACCTCGGTGTTTCTTACGCTCTGGAAAATCCGATATGCAATTCCAAGTAACTGATTCTTACAAAGGTTATGAAGCAGCATATTGATGGTGACTACGGTTGGAGTAGGACTGCAAGGCATCATGTACTCCACTAACTTCAAACACTCAGAAAAGTTTCCACTTCTGCAGACATATTGGACCAAACACGTCGAACTTAAAACATTAAGCTTTAAGTTTTCATACCTCATATGGTATAAGATCCTTTGGATTATTGTAGAGTTTCCTAGCCTGCAGGCAGTACACAAAATTGCATTGAATGAAACTGCATCGGGCCAATTTACATCCCACTCAAAATGGTACAAGAGCTCAAAAGCTTCTTTAAGATTTTTTTCTGTACAAAAACCACTCAAGATTGTATTATAAGACGCATTGTTTGGTTTAAAGCCAGCCTCCATCATGCTCTTCAACAGAGATAATGCTTCTCTTGATTTATTCTGTCGACATAAACATCGTAAGTAAATATTATAAAGAGCAACATCTACAGTACATCCACTGGAAAATATATCCTGCAATAGTTCACATGCGAACACTGTTTTTCCTATTTTTAGTAGGCCTCCACACAATGCAGCATAAGAGTACGAATCCAGGTAAAGACCTTTTTGAACCATCACCTGAATGAACTTAGATATGACATCCAGACTGTGTCTACGACAAAGCTCACGAAGGATGACATTATAAGTAAGCAGATCAGATTGACATCCTTCCCTTTCCATCTTACCAACATAGTCCATAGCTTCCTCAAATTTCCCATTATCAAAAAGAAACTTGACAATTATCGTGTGCGTAATCACATTAGGCTTACACCCATCACTTTGCATCAAATCCAGCCATTGGAAAACATCATCCTGCAGGCCCTCTCGACAAAATCCATAAATCAAAGCGGTATACGAACACACACTATGAACAAACCCTTTCTTCTTCAGCCAACAAAACAATTGCAAAGCAACACAACTTTGACCGGACTTGCATAAAGCCCACAGAATCTGGTTGTAACAAAACACATTATAAACACAACCCTTTCTCAAAAGAAGAGATAACACGAACCAAGCCTTGGAAACCATCCCAACTTGACAAAGCATCGAAATAAATTTATTCAAAGTCGGTTCCGACGGGTGATAATCATACCTCAACATAAGCTCAAAAACAGTAACACCATGGACTAAATTCCCTACCTTGATCGCCATTTTCAAGGTTTTCGATAAAGAAGTAAACGATGGCACAAAATCGCTCCTACACATCTCTTCAACAATAAAAACCGCATGTTCTAAATTACCAAGAACCGACATTCCACGAAGAAGAGTATTAAAAGTGGACGCATTAGGTCGAGGCCCAAACCTCTTCATCCCCATATATATTTCAACCAACTCTTGCCAACAAGCGTTGTTAGACTTCAAGTAAAAGTACAACAAAGCGTTACAATCATACACGGTGGGCTTCCCATCAAATATTTTCATCAAATTAAGAGTACAAAGGGCACTGTTAAAGTCACCTGAGATAGCATAACCCCACATGCTGCGCTGCAATTCGGGATAATCGGAAACATGGCTGTCAACTTCTTTGAAGCAATCTACTGTACTTAGAGCACATGAAGTGGAGAAACTGGCTAAAAAACGGAATTTTCTGCAAAGTCTACATGAATAAGTAAGTGCAGGAGATAAACTAAAAGGCATGGAAATTTGAGGTTGGAGTTTGGAGATACAATTGCATTTAATAAATATTTAGAGGTAAACTTTTTTGGGTTGCTGGGAAGCTGGATGAATATAAAAGGACTATGTTATGAAGCAAGGAGCCAGCAGAAGACTGGGAAATGGGAGAAGAAAGGGTTTATGGAAAATAAATGAAGAAAGAAAAGGAGGGTTTTAGTCGGCTGAAGAGCAAGAGGGCGTAAGGCCTTGTATTGTGAGTTTGGCCTGTTTTTCTTAGGATATTTTTCCCCTTTTGTCCCCGTAATGCTCATTGTTGTTTTACTTAAGTCACTAAAATAAAAAAAAAAATCATTGGAATTAATGTTAGGATAAATTACACGTTTAATACTTTAACTATCAGTTTTGATCCGTTTTAGTATCTAAACTTTCATTTTTAAAATATACCTAAAGTTTAGTTTTTGTTTCATTTTAGTACATCTTCTTTAAAAACTTTAATTTTTATTTTATTTTAGTATCCTCATTCAAAACTTAACGTAAAGTTTTGAAAAAATAAAATTTTAGGTACTAAAACAGACCAAAACTGATAGTTTAGGTGTTGAGTGTGTTAAATTTTTAACGAAAAAGTGCTAAAATAAAATGAAAACTAAACATTAGGTATGGTTTTAAAAAAATTAAAAGTTTAAGTATTAAAATAGATCAAAATTGATAGTTTAGATACTAAATTTGTAGTTTACCCTTATGTTATTAATAAAAAGATTTCGTTTCAGTGATAGTTGAGTCAACATGCTCACAAGTCGTTTTACATAAATATTAATGCAATCCAATAAGATATCAACACGTTTCGTCAATTTATTGATAAGAGAAATAAAAATAAAATTATCTTAGATGAGGCTCGAATCTATCTTTATAGGGATTTAAATCTCTCAATTTATATTTATATAAATTTTTATTTTCTTCTCAATAAAATATGATACATGTGGGTGTGACCATCTTATTGCAATAGCAGATCCAAAAATTTTAATACTCTTTTTTTTAATAAAATAAGTACGCAAATTTTTTTATTTTTTCTCATTCACTTAATTTATTGAACTATATTTAAGAACTTATCCGAAACAATAGATATATACTTTGTCCCTAGGAGGCCAGGTGCATCTACCGCAATCTAATAATCGGATGGCATCAATTTAAGAAAATAGTATGCGAATATTCTGATCCAACTTTCGATCAACTGCTATTAATGGTTTAATAATTCAGTGACCAAAATGAAAATTTCCTTAACCATAGTAATTTTTTTTTATTTTAGTGATCAAAGTGAAAATATCTTAAAGAATTAATGACCATTAAGTGTAATTTACCTTAATTAAAATTGTGGTCATACTGAGCAAAGTTTTTCTAAGGACCATTAAACTAAAGTTTCCATATTGTTAATTATTTATTACATATAACATTATAAAAATTTAATAGTTTATATCATATGGTTTGTGCAATCCATTTTAGATAAAATATTACGATTTTATAATAATTTATCACGCAAAACATTACAAAATAAGCAATGTCATGTGAAGTTGCATAAGCCATTATTAAATTTATAATGATTCATGTATAGAGATAGGCATAGGACCCGAATCAACTCGACCCAATCGGGTCGCGTTTTTTTAAATTTGATGTTTGGATCGGATTCGGGTTTAAGGTGAAAATACCCGACCCAACCCAAAAAAGATAATTTTACCTTATATATTTAGGAATAATTACAATAATACTCATATATATATATATTATTTTTTCAATTAAGTCACTATTTTTATTGAATAAAAATAATATATTTTTATTATTTCGAGTCGGGTCAGATTTTTAAGTTATACATCGGGTCGGGTGAAATCTTATTTCATGCAAGTCGGGTCGGATCTCGGGTGGAAGAGTAATTGTTCTCGGGTTGGGTTGGCGGACCAAAAATCGACCCAACCCGACCCATGCCCATCCCTGTTCATGTAATTGGATAAATTATAAAAATTATAAAATAGTAATAATAATTTATGTTATTTGATGATATTTAATAACCCCAACAAATACAATCATATCAGTTTTACTTCACAATTAGAAATATTTATTTGAATTAATTATAGAATTATTTTCATGTTATAATGAAGGCTTGTTTTTGGTGCCGAATACATTTCCAATAAGAGGTCTAACTGAAAAAGCGGCATCTCTTCTCCACCACCACCAAAAGGAGAAATAAACTTCCCAAGTGCATTCGCAGATCTAACGTGGGCTTAACGACACAATACGAATATACAACTGTAGACATCATTTTTTTCATTTAAATTTTATTATTATTATTAAATTTATTATTACTAAATATTATTATTATTATTAATATATATATATATATATATATATATTACAAGCCCAAAGGACCCGGAGGCCTGTTTTACAAATATGGAGGCCCGATTATCAAATCCCAAACCCAAATGGAAACCCTGAATTGATTTGGGTTTTCAGTTAGGGTTTTCAAACCCTAACCCCCAGCCGCCTCCAAGATTCCATAAGGCCAGCCGCCGTCAACCAAAAGGGTTCCAGATTGAAAACCCTAGGGTTTCTAACCCTAGCAGCCAGCCGTTTCCAGATGCTTCCAGCCGCCTCTGATGATTCCAGGTGGTCCAACAGCTGCTGCCGACACTCCAGAACGTCACGAAGCAACCCACGTCGAGCCCTATGGTGAGTCACCACCATAGCTATGGTGACTCACCGGGCCTTTTATCCTTTGGACCGGTCTGAAGCCATCACCGGTGGTGGCTATAAAAGCCACCGTCCTCTGCAAGAAAAAAAGAGAGGAGGAAGCCACGAGAGAAGAGATACACAGAGAACAAGAGAGGACAGCCAGCAAACGGGAGACAACAACACCAACAACAAGCAATCCAACCACCATCAAACACCAAAATAACGAGATAAAAATCGAAAGAAACCTTACCGAAGAAAGCCACACCACCACCGGAGTAACCACGCGCCTCCACGCTCCACAACAAACCTTCGAAAACCGAAGGTATTTTTATAGATTTGCTCCGATTGAGAGCTTTTTAAGGTAAACAAATACCGGAATCGTCATTAGGACGATCCGATCTATGTTGTGGTATAAAGTTTTATTTTCCGGCCACCGGAGGCGGTGGCCGGCGGTGAGGTTGGCGGTGGCTATCGGCGCCGGAATTCCCTCCGGTGAGGGAATTAAGAGAGAAGGAAGAGAGAGCTTCTTCTCTCGTTTTTGAGAGAAGAAGAAGAAGAGAACAATGAGGCTGCTGGCCCTTCGGGCCAGCTATGAAGGGGTATATATACCCCTTCCCGAACGACGTCGTTTTGGGAAAGGGTATATGCGTAATTTACATGTATGGCTAAACCCCTTCCGTAGCCATCTAAGTTTTGTAATTATTCATTTTAGTCACTAAAACTAATTTCTGAATGTTCTAATTCAGTATTCGAATTTTATTTTATTATGTTTTAGTCCTTACCAGTATAAATAATATATTTAGGATAAATATCACATTTAGTCCCTAATAATTTTAATATTTCTATTTAATCACCTATTAAATAATTAATGGCTAATTATACTACTAGTATTTATATTTATGATAATTCTAACCATGTCTCTTAAATATTTATATTTTATAATTTGATCATTAAATTTTATATAATCTTAATTTTAACCATAAGTACTATTATTTTTACATTTTAGGTTCATATTTATGAATATGATCCAATAGTTTTAATATTATACTTTGTTTTCTTTCATTTTAATTATTATTATTTTATTTTATTATTACTTTTGATATATGTTTAAATTATTATCTTCATGATTATTTTATTATTATTATTAAGTTATATAATATATATAATATTTATTTATTTATTCTATTTGTTTATTAAATAAAAATCCTATTTATAAATTTAATTTTATAAATTACTTTTAAGAAAAAAAAAACTATTTTGATATATATTTATTTTTAATATCTAAGAAAAGAGCTGTCTTAAAATACCTAGAAGTCATTTTCTGATATTCTTAAATAAATAAATGTCCTACTTTTATAAATTGTATATATTAATCTATTTTTTAGATAAATGTTTTAATATTTATTTATTTTTTAATATCAAAGGAAGAAACTGTCTTAAAACACCTAGAAGCTCTTTTCTGATATTTCTAAATAAATAAATATCTTATTAATAAATTTACTTAAAATTATATTAATAAATTTAAATTAAATATGTTTTGAATTTTTAATTTTTAATAATAGAGACAATTTATAATTAATAAAGTACCAATTTTGGGCGTTGTAGGGGTGCTAATCCTTCCCTAAACGTAACCGACCACGAATCCCTTTTTATTAATAAAAAGAATGAATTTTTGGTTAAACGCAGATCAGTTTATCTTTTAACTGATGTTTTCTTAAAAACTCTTTTAAAAGATAATTTTTAGGTATTCGACCTACCTGACTCAAAAGGCCGATGGCGACTCCCAAATTATTCTAAAAACCATTTATTCACATTACTTTTCCCGCCAAATAATAAATATTTCGTGCCCGGACGAAAACCGGTTACGACAGCTTGGCGACTCCGCTGGGGACTGTCAAACTTTAAAATCAATTATAAATTGTCTCTATTAATTAGAAATTAAAAATTCATTTATTTAATTTTAATTCTTTTCTTTCAAATTTTATTATTATTTTTATATTAATATTGTTTTTTTATTCAGGTATTAATTATTTTATTTATCTGTTAGAGATTTGAATATTTCTCCTCACACACAACACTTGCATTGTATAACATAAATCTCTATAATTGAGTTCGTCCCTTTTAAGTGGGAGTGAAAGCGACGTCTTCGTGAGAATTTATTCTCCGTGTCAGACCTAGCAAGTAACTTTCGGGGTTTATATGCTCTATGTCTTCGTGAGAATTTATTCTCCGCGTCAGGTATAGAGAAATGTGTCCCCTCGAATTGAACTCGATCCGTTTAAATCTGTAATGGATTAGGATTGATGGTTGACAGCCCAGGGGGCATCAACAAGGACAATTCGAGTACCTTTACTCCTAGAACTGAAACTCTGCATATAATAAACCCTAGAAATTCACCTAATCTAAGACAGTATTGAACCTCTGTTCATAGGTGTACACAAAGGAGAAATAAGCTCTAGCTTTTAATTTATTTAATTTATTATTATTTTTTCTCCCTGAATAAATGCATGCGAACTAGAA